ACTCAGCTGATTGCTGGTGGTAGGTTTCTGTGTTATTTAGGGCACCGAAGTCCCACAGTCTTGACACAAACTTAAAATTAGAAATGCATTAAATATAGGAAAGGAGGAGGAAGGTCATTCAAGAAAGGCAGCCTTCGGAAACATCTGCAGGACAAAGACGCCCTGGAAACTTCCAGGTTCATTAATGGGTTTTACACAGCATTCAAGTGGTATTTCTCCTTCAGAAATAACACTGTGGAAAGCGTAGGGGACTGGCTCAAACCTCAGCTAACACAGCTGAGTGAGTGACTCTGCAAACTAAAAATAGCTTCTTTCCCACTCATTCTGACAGATTTCACTTAGACCCTGTGCACAGGTTGATCCTCCAACAAACAGTTTTAGTCCTGCAGCAAAATGAGGGCTGGCATCTGGGCTTCACGATTATCCAATCCCTGGTTCAACCCTTGTTTATTTCCGCATTTCCTGCTCCTGCTCTGATGGCTGCGTGTGTGCACACGTGCACGTGTACACTGAGCTCCCTCCCTGGGACTTGGTGCTCCTCAAGCAAACGTGGGCAGAATTTAAACCAGCAACATGACTCAGGGCCATGCTGCAGACTGAGCCCAGAGCAAGGCCCTCAGAAACACTGAGAATCAGGCTGCTTTCCATGGATCTTCTCCCAATTCCCAGCTAGCCTCTCTGAGCCTCAGTTTCCTCAGTTATGAAAGGAGGACAACCATTCTTATTTGGGCCTATTTCACAGCATTGCACTGGGCTCAAATGAGACCACATATATGAAAGTTATATGAAAAGACAGTAGTCCTCGCAGAAGGATTGGTGGCAGTGAAGGGGCAGGCTGGACAGGCAGCGAGACTGCAAAACTAGGCTGGACCACTGGAATGGGCAGGATCCTGACTACGCCAGGAGTTAGAGCAGATTCAGACTCACAGTTTTAGTTCATGTTTTCCCCTCTGCTGGACTGTCCTTCTACCTTTTCTAAACTCCTACTCATTGTTAAGAACCCAGTTTAAACAACACTTCTTTCTGTTAGTGTCTTCATTGCTCCCTTGGCCTAACATACCTCTAATGGCACTTTTCACTCTGTACAGTAAGGATTTATTTATGTACCTGGAAGTTCTTGCAGGGCAAAGACATATACTCTTTATCTTTGGGTCCACCTCCCCACCCACCACCCTGTGTGGCCGAGGCAGGTGAGCAGGAGACGTGGGTCAGCACACACAGAGCCTGAAAAGGGGTGGCGGGTGGGGAAGCCAGGAAGCGTGTTGCCAAGGCCTGCCTGCCCCTGGAAATAAGGGCAGAGCTACCGAGATGGGAGTCAAAACCAAACTGCAAGTCCTGGAGGACCAGGTGGGCACATCATACTAACTCCCAGTGACCTAAACTGGAACAGGAGGCCCTGGGGACAAGGAACGAGGGCAGAGAACAGAGCCAAGGCGAAGAAGCAAAGCAAAGCTCAAGTGGCCCTGAAGCCTGGAACATGTTAACACTGGTTAACATGACAAAGTCAAGCCAGCAGCTGGGGTTAAGTGATCTTGGCTTTGACATTGAGAGACTCCAAGGGCAGGAGTCACTACAGATTTAAGTAGTGATCACTTATATGACATAAGAGTCACAGGTGGAAAGGACTCTTAGACTTATAAGAAAATTAGGAATCACCTAGTCTAATATCTCCACCCTACATATGGGGGAACTCGGATGCAGGAGGGAAGGGGGCTTGCCCAAATTCATTCAGTCAGGGGAAAGCCAGACTAGAACCTAGGTCTTCTGTCCCTCAGTCACCTTCCGTCAAGCAGATCTTCTCATGGGTCCACTAACACACCAGGTGCCCAGCTCTACCTGCTTTGGAACCACTAAGTGAGCACAAATGCTTCTGCCCAACTGTAAAATGTAGGCTTCTACCTGTGGGTGGAACTTTGAGCCAATATTCCACAGGAACTGTGCAGGTAGCAGCCCTACTTAGGGCTTGGAAAGCAAAAGGCTGCTGTGGTGCATATTTGCTGTCAAGGAGCAGAGAAACTTGTCTACACACACTCCACCCTAACACGGGCAGGGGGGATTAATCCCAAACCTGTGCTACCCCAGGAATTTTCTGAGAGTGGCTACAGAGGCCTAGGATCTAAGGCAAAGCTGACAGTACGTGAAACATGTAGTCATCACTACTAGAAGAACATTAAAGGAAGGCCCAAAAGGTCTAAAATCTCAAAGTCTTTCTCAGGCCTGAGATGAGATACAGCTCAGAAGAAAAATATTGAGACACTCAGGGAATCAGAAACCCTGAATCTCAGACTTTCAGAATTTTCATCCATGTGAGGATAGACATGTAAAAGGACATGTGCATTTTTACTTCATCTATACAGAAGATATGTGAGCTTCAAGTACTTCAAGTCCAAGTCCCAGCCCGCTGTTTACCTACAGTGTGATCCAAGGCCAGTGACTCCCCATTCTGAGCCTCTGTCTCCTTATCGTAAAGCAGTGATTATAAGCTGTGCCCAGGTTTACTATGGAGATAAAATAATATCTATATATAGCATTTAGCACACTGCCTGGTCCATAACAACCACAGGGTAACATTGTGTTTATTTGCTTTCTTTTGTTCACAGGAAGGGATATATATACCACAGTCCAGCTCTATCTACCTGTGCTTTCCCCTTCTGCCTGGCTGTCCCTCTGGACTCTTCTGGACAAACATCCTACCTGAGGCCCCAGCCTAGACAGCTCACTCCTCCCTCAGCTTATCCTTTGGACATAAAGATGGCAATTATCAGCTATGGGCCACACTCAGGTCCTTAAAGATCTGGAATCATCAACTTAGTTCAAGGCTGTTCCTGTACCCCCGGGTGTCCCTGCACCTCCCTGGCCAAGCCTCTGCCAAGGTAGCACCTTGCTTTGTCCAAGGTAAGTGGGGCTTTGAATGGCGTTTGGGCTTGACATTTCTTCCTAGCAGCTTATAGCTGTCCACACTGGCTTGGCTCTGGGCCTCAGGCAAATAGGTATCTTGTGGGTCAGATTTGGACATCAACAATGGAGATAATTCCCAGCCCCAATTTACCAAGAGAAAACAGCCTGGAGTCTGAACCTGCAGTGAGACCAATGAGTATGCACACCAACACCCCAAGGACTGCAGCAGAGATGGAGGGGAGCACTGCACAAAGCTGCCACAGGTCTCAGGCGACTCCTCAGATTGCCCCACTAAGAAGCTAAATAAAAGTCACATCAATGTCAGGTCCTTAGGCTATATGTTTGCACTGGCCATGCCTGTCACAGTGCTGCGTATCGTGGCCACTGCAGGACCTTAAAAGGCTTCAGAGGAGAAGAAGAGAAAGGACCCAACAATAACTGAGTGGGTTCCTGCCACGTGCCAAGAACTCTGCAAGGAATCCTCACCAACAACCTTCTTTAGTAGGTGTTAGCATCTTCATCTGGCCAACAACACCAGAGACTCGAAAGCTCCAGAAGCTCTTGTGCCTCCTCTATGCAACCAGACCACAAAGTCTCAGCCAAAGAGCCTAAAGCCTATGTACCAAGTGTCAGCCCCTGAACTCGCAGACACTGCATTCCCTCATTCACTGCTGGGGGCGGCAACTTCTTTCAAACAGAATGCAGAGAAATGTAGGGAAAGTCATAAAGATGCTCAGGGCCTTTGCCCCTGTAATTTCAACCCCAAGATTATATCTTCAAGAAATGACTCAACAGGGTATTCACTGCAGAGTCCACCCCAGTGCCAAAAAAAAGGAAATGATCTCAATGTCCAACATTCAAAGAATGGTTTGAAAATATCCCAGAATCTTCCAACCACATAAAAGCCATTTAAAATGATCTTACACCCAAGAAAAACAAAGCAATGCATTTGTGGTCAAATAAATGAAGATAATACCAAACATTATAAATAATTTGTAAAGGATGTACGTGGAAATGTAGTTGTGTTAGGGTGGTACGATTATAAATGGTTTTGTTATTATTATCATTATTATTATTACCATGTCCAAATTGTCTCTGCGGTGTTGTTTAGTGCCTTTTCAATTAAAGAAAAGAGAGAGAGAGAAAGACAGACAGACTCGAGGCAGCCCTGAGGAGAGGCCCAGGAGGGCGCGGGCTGGGACGTGAAGCAGGAATGGATCGTCCTACATACCCGGAAGGCGGAGGCCAGGCAGGCCCTGGGGGAAGGGAAGCCCTCTAGGTATGGAGAGGGTTGTAATTAGTCTGATGCTAATTACAGAAGTCTCACTAGCTTATTAATTTTTTGACAAACGCTGAATGGAGACTGAATTCCTTTATCAAGCCAGCCTGGGTTCAGAGGCACATTTCCTGTGTGGCCATTCTCATTCTTCTTGAAAGCCAAGCCTTTTCTTTTTTTTTTAAGGACAGCAGTAAAGTGAAATTTAGTAACAGAAACATACACCCTGGAGAAATTAAGACTCCTGCCTTAAATGTAGAAATTCAAGACATTCCAGGCAACTGCAGGGGCTTGAATACGCAAATGAACTACAATGTTTTCCACACTGGGAAATATAAACAGAAATGCAGAAATACTTAGCTCAGTATTAAAGGCCCCCTGATCAGGTTCCATCCCATCTTTCTGATATTACCTCACACTCGCCCCCACAGATACCCCACGCGCCAGTGGTCTCCCAAATACGTTCTTCACTTTCCTTCCCTGTGACTCTGCTCAAGCTGCTGGGCCCACCTGCAAGGCCTCTTCTTGAACCTATAGCTGCTCGCTCACGTCCGACCCATCCTCAAGGCAGAGCTCAGGGCCACGTCCTCCTCCAAGCCTGACCCAGTGCCCGCACCCTGACGTCATCTCTCACCCCGCAAGTGGGCCCAGACTCCCTTTTCTACCACACAATAAACCACAAGCAACTTGAGGCAAGGACCCTTCAGATTCCTACGTGGACGCTACTGTAATGTCTGGAGTATGCACACACAGTAGGCCCTCAGCAAGCGCTCTGCTGAAAGACAAGGCAAAGAGGTGCATCGCATCTTTGGAGAGTCACACCTACCTCGGTTGCTCCCATTAAGCAGTGCAGAGATGAAGGTGTGCTCTCCCGTGGCCTCGAGCAGGGGAGGGGCGAACCCTGCTTTTCTGGTTCCCAGCCTTCCTGAGACTCCGACTTCCTCCCTAGTTGACCGTAGTCCGCTCGGCCCCAGGTAAACACCTTGCCAGTTTCTAAAAACAAACATTTGAATTAAGGCTACATTCCACAGCTCTCATAGGTAGGCACTGAATTACAAGTGAAAGTGTGAACATTTATTGTAGTACCAACTATGAGATACCAAGAGCCTTTCTATCTACCTGTAAAGAAAGCAGAGATATTCAGTTTTTCTAAAAAGATTTTTTTATTAATTTTTAGAGAGAAAGGAAGGGAGAGGGAGAGACAGAAACATCAATGAGAGAGAAACATCAATCGGCTGCCTCCTGCACACTTGTGACCGGAGATTCAGCTTGCAACCTGGACACGAGCCCTGACTGAGAATCGAACCGGCAACCCTTGGGTACACGAGATGACACCCAACCTACGAGCCACACCAGCCAGCGCATGGGTAATCATATTGACATATGTGGGAGAGGGGAAATAACTTGCTCAAGATCCAATCAGCAGTGAGCACCAGAACTGGATTCCAACAGAGGCTGATTCTGAAGCCCATGTTCCTGCATCTTAACAGATACAGACACAGACATGACACAGAGAAAACAGTCACCCATGCTTCATGGCCTGCCCACCCTCTCCTCTCCTCACAGGCTCCTTGCCCATTGCCCAGATGTTTCTCAGACTCCTCTCTCTCTCACCCAATTCAGGGCTCCCATCAGCCACCCTGAAGTCCCCAGGCTCCTGACTTGCCCCGTGTCACAATCTCTTAGGGCCTTACTCTGAGCTCAATTAATGGCCAGTTTCATGTGTTTTCCCCTCTGTGTAATATAAGAGGACCTTTAGGAGTCTAAGCTCTTACTCAAAGGAGCAATTCGAAGTCCCCAGGCAAGTGTCTATGTGTGCTAAGCAAGGGAGTGTAGAAGGAAAAAAAGACAAAATCATTTAGAGCCAGAAAAGCATTCAGTTCCCCAGATGCACCACCTGGGAAGCTGGCCAGTGCTAAGGATGATTGAAGAAAATGAAGTTTGGAAAAAGAGAAATGGCCTTTCTTCTCCCAGATAAGAGAAAATTCACCAAATTCATTCAGTTGTACCAAGTGCCGCATTTGTTATTTCAACAGAAATGCAAAATCCGATGAGGCATAGATTATTAACAGATTCTCTGCAATAAATATGCATAACCATGTGCGCTGTATAAATTCTTTATACATGTTTATTTTAACAAAGAAAAACTTTGCTTAAGAGACAAAACACCAAGTAATACATATTAAATTCTAGATAAATCTACTACATACACTGTGTTTAGTATCAAAGCTTCATCTGGCCCCACATTCAACATATGGCTTATAGTGTCAGCTAAAAAACAACCACAGACTCCAGGGGAAATGTCAGAATATTGCAGGAATGTAGGGCTCTGCAGGGATACTTTCTAAGGATCAGTCTGCTCCCAGGCACCAACATAGGCACCAAGAAGTTCACAGGAACCTGACTTCTGAGCTTCTTCAAAAAGGGAGCAAAGTCTGGGCAGCCCGTGGGGTAGCAGGCACATTACAAGACCTGACGTACTACTCATGGCCTCACCTATGCTGTTCCTTTGGCCATGGATGACCTTTCCTTATATTACTCACATGATCAACAATGGTTCAACCTTTAGAGTCCAGTTCATGTACCACCGGTTCCCTGAAACCTTTCCTGACTCCTCAGTTCTCCACAGAAAGGGTGAAACCCACCCTCCCATGAGCCATCTTTATAATTATACTCATCGACTACTATGCTCCCATTTAACAGCTGAGAAAATTAAGGTTCGGAGAAGTGATCAGCCCAGGATCACACAACTAAGCCACCTCTCCTTCTTCCACGAGCCCATGGTACCTCTCTACATCGACTATTCATACTGGTCCACATCACTAGGTAACCACGCAACACTCTTCCTTCACTTCTGTAGGATTAGACCCAAAAAAAACTACATGCCCCAGGCCCAAAAATTCCAAAACTGGCAAACTGAACTGAGCTGGCTGACATTCACAAGCAGACTGCCTCAGCAGGGAGATTCCCAAGCAGCCAGAGGAGACTGTGATGTAGGTGAGCCTAGCATTCCTCTGCTGGGAAAAACTGGCAGGTTGCTATCTGCAGTTCTACAGAAGAACTGTGTTATCACAAATCCCACAATGACTCCCTCCTTATCAAGTAAAGGATCATAGAACTTTCTCTGCTATTGATTATTGATGTCCAAGACTGTCCGGATACAGTGCCACCATTATTACATCTCCAATAGCAATTCAACCATTCCACTTACACAGCACTTTTCACCTTCAAAGTACTTTACAAAGATTAACTAATTAATCCTTGTGCCCCTGGGGAGGCACAGACATTCTATTAGAGACAAGCCTAGAAACCAGGCCGACTTGATGTCTAGCCTTCAGTCTCTAGCCTGTTTGTTCAGTCTGGTAGGTGCCCTCTCTGAAGCTGTTTCCCCCAAAATACACTCTGCATCAAAAAGCTCACAGAGGACAGAGGAGACTCTTTTATTTTTCTTTTAAACAGACACTTATTGCCCTGGCCAGTGTGGCTCAGCTGGCTGGGTGTCGTCTTGTGCACTGAAAGATTGCCAGTTCGATTTCTGGTCAGGACACATGCCTGGGTTGTGGGCTCCATCCCTGATGGGAGGCATACAGAAGGCAGCCGATCGATGTTTCTCTCTCTCCCTCTCTTTTCCTCTCTCTAAAAATCAATAAAAATATTTTAAAAAAACAACAAACAGACACTTATTGACCACCTCCTAGATGCTGGCACATTCATAGACACTCTCCCAATTAATCCTAATAATTCTGTGATATATAGATTATTAAGCTTATTTTACAGATGAGGTTAAATGACTTGGTCAAGTCAAAACAACCAGCAAGTGGCCAAATCAAGATTTAAACCTGTGCCTCTGACTCCTAGACTAATAGGATATTCAACGACTGCACAGCTGCTGTCACAAACTGGCAAACCCTGGCTGAGAAACAGAGTTCTTACAGTGTTTGAGGAGGGGGGAAACCTAGATTAAGTGGATATGTTCTGTGTACCATGCAGCTTTCCTCACCTCCCAAGAGGACATGCAGAACTCAGGACTGTGAGTACTAAAATACAGGCATTAAATACAAGGATTATGATTTTAGGTCACCTGGAGTAAAAGAAAATAATAAATCCACATACAGAAGATGTTCATTGCTGCGCTGTAGATAAATGTCTGCCTCAGGCTGAAGCACACCATCAAATCTAGGGAGATTCAGATCACAAATGCAACAAATGGAATCTTCTCCTTAGAGTAAAGAATTATAGATTACTACCATAAAACAGAGATACATTAATGTCACTCAAAAAGTATAGGTATGTGTCTCTGGATAAACGATAAATGACAAACAGCTCAAAATACAGTCAGCAAGCAAAATCTAATTTAAAGGCATGTCCATGTGAGAATTAACAGAACTATGGAGCCAAGAAACGTACATGGCAAAAGATCACAACTCCAATTGGAAAACAGCAGGGGTCAAATGAGTAGTATCAACAATGAATGCCCGGGGAGCTTGAAGGAAGCATTTCAAACTAGAATGATCCTGGCAAGCTTGATGGAATAAGTGGCATTTAAGGTGAACTTCTGGATAGAAAAAAGAAAAAATAAGAATCTCTAGGAACAGGAAGAGGAGATTAGCAATGACAGAAATCAAAAGGCACAAAGTGGGGCAGGTGGAGAGTGAGGGTCATGAGGAAGGGGGACAGGAAGGGGACTCAGGACTGCCAAGATGGGGCCAACCACAGGGAAATGCCAGGCTCGGGGTCTGGACCTTACCTTCCAGATCAGGGATCCCCAAATTCATTTGCTTGCACTCCCCTATCAGTGAAATATTTTAAACATACCACCAACATATGTATATTCATTTATTATTAAAGTATGCACTTGTTTGCATATATTTATAAATTATAAATGTACCCTTACTCAAAAATATACAGTGTAAAACATACTCAAGAAGTAGAAAGCTTAAAAGAATAAGATAAAAAACACAAAAGAAACCAATTTTCTCTTCCCACACCCTGGCAATTGGTCTTGCATGCTCACTCTAGGTACTACTGTTAGACAGACAGACTAAGGGGAGATTGTAGGCTTTTGAGCAGGAGTGGGCCTGATGAAAGGAATGTTTTGGGATGGTACACCTGGCAAAGGACTGAAGGGCTCCAGTAATAACAATATGCATAGCTAACACTTCCATAGCACCTACTATGTGCCAGGCAATGTTCTAAGCATTCTCTATTAGTATCCAGTTTATCCCTCCCAACAACTCCGTGAGACAGGCACTCTTTCCTACCCCATTTTACTGACAGGGAACAAGGCACTTACCTTGTTCACAGTGGCAGTGAGTGAAAAGCAAAGGAAGGGAGGGAGGGAGGGAGGGAGGACACACACAGTAACACAGTCTAAAATGCATCAGGGCTGAAAGCAGGTTTGGAATCACATGGTGGGGGGAGTAAAAATTTGCAAGGCTTGGCACCCAGTTAGATGTGAAAAGGAACAAGAGGAGATAAACAGCACTCTGAGACCAGGATTTCCAGCTTAGTGGGAAGGCAGTGGTGCCATTAAAAGAAACAGACAAAGGGGCAGAGGTGCTAGATCAGGGTTCCCAGCAATGAGAATCATGAAAACCTATTTCATTACCAAGTGACTGATTCTTCTGGGACCTTTGGCATAAACCTTATCCAATAGTCAACATAAATAAAGAAGTAAACAAGGAGAAAGACCACCAGGTGCAGAGTCCTGGGGAGGGGAGAGGGAGAGGGGTGTTCTGAGGTTAAAGTGTACTCAGGAGGGCGGGTGGGTGGTGAATATGCACCTGTTACTCTCCAGCTCTGCTGAGCCCTCATCCCAGATCAGTCTGTGCAACAATCTCAGAGAACCACGTTCCTCACCTTGGGCACACTGATGCCAGTTTATAAATTAGAAGGACCACTGGATTAATGTGCATCTCCCCCTCCATAGGGTCAGCTCTATGATAGCAGCAGGGACTCTGCTTTTGCTCATCCCTATATTCAAGAATAACGCC